GCTCTGGCTTCTGATTGGTCAATAAAGCCTGTTTTGTTGTACCGATCTTTGACCTATTAGAGCTCGGGTATTCTACAGTGACGCCGGATCAGGGCGCAGACATCTTGGACCACCTGGCCGCAGCCAATCCCGTGTCTCTCTGCGGTCCAACGGCATGCGGGAAATGAAGGCAGCCAACCAGAGAAGGACATGGATGAGATGCAGTATATAATGAGCGGCGTGGCCAGCGTGGTGGACTCGGATGGAAGCGCCTGACGTGTGGCTCTGGCTTGTGATTGGTCAATAAAGACTGTTCTGTTGTACCAGTCTTTTTCCTATCAGGGCTCGGGTGTTCTACACAAGAGCACGAAGAACAAGGTTCCAATTTGCGCGGCCACGAGCATACTCAACTGCAATCTGCCATGTGACCTTTAAAGAAAAATGTTCAAAGTTTAAGAGTTATTCCTGTCCACTTGAATAGCTAAAAACACACCTTTAATGGCTGTCATAATTACCTATTCTGATTTTTAGGCCTTTGCTAAACAAATAGTTTAAAGTGGAACTGATTTATTCCATCATTGTTAGTTTTGGGAGAAATTCTGTACCTAAAATTTGTATTAAGATAATAGCAAGCAGTTACCATTATACTGCTTCAACTTATATTCAATTCGAATCTAAAATTTAAAAATGGTATAGATTCGCTACCGATATAGAGCAACGTCAACACCATTTATGTGCCATTAACGTTTATGTTAAGAGATTTACTCCCGCATTATCTGCGGACGTTTATCACAGGTATTCAACAGTTCCCGAATGTGTAGATTTATTGCGCGAATATATATAATAGTTTGGAAGCCTATATTTTGTCCTGTAATCCACACTTTAAAAGCTAAGTTTTTCGGCTGACTGAAAAGTAAGCAGTTGTCATAATCACATGTAGGGAAATGATTGGATGGTTCATGAACATGCATCACTTGGATTTGACATTCTCTAACTTCTAGTACTTCTGATACTTAAAGTTTGCTTTTATTCTGTTATTAGGATTAAAATATATTTCAATATATTTTATTATGGTTATGTCAAAAAATCATGCCGACATTCCGTAACGTGTTTTACGATTTTGAATTCCCAGTTTGTATACAGTCAATACAAGTAGCTAGTCATTTTACTCAACTTCATTAATTCTGTGAATTGCTGCAAATTTATTAAAAATCTTAAAGTTGAAAGGCAAATATGTATTTTCATTGTTTGGAGACTGCCCATCGCATTTTTAGAACACGACACTGAGTGTATGGTTTAAAGCTAAGCTTGGTTGAAGTATTTTGGCGAGAGCTTCAGAACTAGCACTCAAATAGCATTAATATGTAGAGTTGATAAGGAGGGGTCCGATATTGTGCTACTGAAGATAGGTCCGTTGAGAAGGTGGAAATGTGAAATAATAGGTAGAAAAATAACGCTTGAAAATAATCGACGAGAAAAAGGCATAAAATTTCTTAAATGGTGGGATACAGATTCGAAATCATGAATTCCAGCAGAAATGGCGATGGAGCTATCCGAAGTGATATTCTGGATGCCCACCGTTGCTCTGTTCCAACATTTTTTCTCATGAAATCCGTTGGCGTAAATAATGCATGTGTTTAAATATATTCAGGCAAACCAAGTTACCTAATGTAGCATGGGAGAAGAGGGCCACCATCTTAGTTTTCAACCAGTGGTCGGGAACCAGCGGCGCGCCGTAGTGGCGGCAGCACTTGAGAGGTGACGTGATTTCCGGTTGCATGGGGCTGTGTGGTTGCTAATGGAGCGCCAAAGACCGAATGCTCAATCACCTCACGAGTTTGTTTTTCGATTTATAAAAGCCAAGCTGGAACCATCGGGCGGACACAAGCAACCCGGACCAACTACATAAGCAAACCCCTTGTCCATAATGAACCTTAACTCTAGTTCTGGAGACTCTTATCTGTGTTTTGTTCCAATAAACCTGGATAACTGTTCCTGCGTCCTTTTATCATGTCTTGGCATGTTAAACTAGCCCACTTTCCGAAAACTAAATTTTGGACCTGGCTCACCGGAGTTTTTTCGACCAAATTCTGAAGTCTAGGCTAGGTAGTCAGGCATATTTATTAGAACTCCACCTATGAAATTTACTCACTAATTTATGATATCAATTAAATACTTTGAACTTCGGAGAAGGAAATAGAAATCCCAGACCATCATAAATGGATTGTTAATTTAAGCATGTCATAAATATATAAAGGTGCTTTGTTTGATTGTAAGCATCATAGCAAGTGTCTGAACCTGGGTACGAAGCCTGTCGCTAGATGTTTTTAACTGGGTAAAATATGTTGCAATTGACACCTCGCACAGAAGGTGGAAGACTTTGGTGCTCTTCAATACGATAAGCCTTACCTTAGAAAAACAATTGAATGAATTGTTTTCTTAAATATTTAATCAGCAATTACAGACCATGAAGGGGTTTTAGCATCAAATTCCGTTAATATTTGGGTTATCCAAAAATTAAAATATTTGTGAAAAGAGGGGATTCCAGAGACTTTGAAATGTCTAAAAAAATAGATTTTACATCAGTAATTAATGTGTAGTAAAGTACTCTGCAGTAAGTGCTCATGATCGTGGATACTTGCTACTTGGTTATTTGCTCTTTTAACCCCACAGAAGGCAATTATGCTGCATGCTGGATCACTGACAATTTTGCGCTAAATGACACTTTTAACAAAAATATGTGTGAAACATAACTTATGAGATCATTACTACTGACGTCCTGCTAATACACAATGTGCCCCAATCACATTTTTATCTACCTAAAGGTATCTAACCTTTGAGTAAAGTGTGGTCCTTTGAAAATCCAACATAACTCATAGAAAGTGGATACATTGGACTATTCTTAAAAGCCTCCAAAATGAGAACATTGGATCTCGTATGCTCTCTGTTTGACAAATACTACCAAGTCCACTGCGAATCAAGCGCGGTTCGAAAACTGAACCTAACAGCAATGGTTTTTATAGCTGGTTTAGAATATCCAGCGCCTTAATGTACTTTATTTTGAACCTTAGAGTTGCTTCAAAAAAGTTACCCTCCACAGACAATCCTCTTGCAGTCGTTTTTGTGGTTAAACAGATGATTCGCAGCCATGCCCTGAGATCTTGGACCATCTACTCGCTTTAATGGTCGGGGCTCTTGTGCATGGACTCTGGCTTACCATACATGCTACGCGCCTCTCATCACATTGGTTCCGCCGATGGGTAAGTAAACTACTGGGGTGGTTAATGAGAGGGGTCGTAATGTAGTTCAATATTTCTTATAATTTGCGTTACCATAGGGATTAATTCAAGTGGCTTGCAAGTGCGATTCCTGAAATTTACTTGTGTGTTGGCTTTATCTAACCCCGGTTTTTAATGCGAACAGTTACCTAAGGTAATTGGTTTTGATATAGTTATAAAATAACTTGAAGTTAAAGCACAAAATAGGATAATGTGCTCCAAAATTGTAGATTTTATCATAAACAAAACCTGTGTGGCTGCGCACTTCTGACGAACTGAAGAGAACCCCTTTTGGGATAATTCAATGAGCGTGTTGAGCAAAGTGATGAATGCTTGGAGCCAGGAGCCTGAAAAAGAATCCTCGTAATGCTTTATGGCAAAATGCTCCCGAAATGTGGAATACATATGGACTTACCTCATGAAATAACTCTTTATTGATAATAATGGTGCCGAATACAATCGCATTACGGCGCATTAGATCGCTATTTGATCAAAGGCTAGTCAATCAACTGTTAATATTTCTCAAAAAAAAAACTCACCCCAGTTTCACAGCACACACTGATGGAGAGTCAGCTAAATAGACAGTGCAATTTGTCACATTTACTACAACTCAAATTAATTAATATAGCAAGCTGTTTAGCATTTTGGCTGGATTTCAATCCGCTTAATGCATTGCACACGTTTTAATTTTCGACAGCACAAGACAACGGACATGCAAGAATTGCACTAAATTGTTGAATTTAATGCTGAAATAAATCCTGGAAGGTAAGACCTGATTTGTGAAAAAACACAATACAACTATTTGTCGAATAAAATATAAGTTTTTATTCCAACTCATTAAACACGAGTCTATACTGTGAGTCAGACAGGTTGTTTTTGCCATCCTAGTTGAAATTACCGCATATCGAGTAATGTCAAACAAGGAATGAATCAGTACAACTCACACCAAGAATCTCTAAAGGTTTTGGATTGATCAGCTGTGTGTCGCAATCACGTTGTGCGAAAATCGTTTGTTTTTTTAGTGATATAGCTAAACAAAGTGCCTCACTCCAATACGACGAATCGATTCCTACCCCATCGGTGCCATTCATAAACAATTAGCTGAGTTACGTTTCAGACTCATGATTTCAAAAAAAAAATACTACATTGGAATTCAGAAACACGTAACCCTTAGATTTATATTACCATTATGTTCAGTCAGGACAGGAATCTTTAATTTCTATCTAGGTATTATAATTTCCATGCAAACGCAGTCATTGTAAAACCTCAAGACTCGTTCACGGTAATATTTAGTGTCCATGTTCATTAAGTAAGGTCCCACCAAAACAAATTTGCCGTGGTTCCTTTCCAAATGATAATAAATGACCTTGGCTGCAAAAATAAATCCTTTCCTAAGGAAACACAAGATTATCTGTACACCTTATTGGAGAAAGCCAAACTTACTTGCTGTGCAAATTTAATGACTAATTTTCTGGTTTAAACAAAATTTTCAGTAATTTTTCATTAGCACATTAACTAACTCGATTTAAAATTTGTTTTGGGTTATTTGAGCCCACCCGTATCTATATTATGGTAGCGAATTAAACGAACATGTATCATCTTGTTAGGTTGTAAGTTAGGTCGCCTCATAACTGATTACTATTTGGTATTAAAGTGGTATGTCAGTGTGTGGCTCATTTCTTTCGGGGAGAAATTGCTGCTGAAGTTTTGTTTGCCTATTTGGTCAAAACATTTGCTATATATAAGCAAATTACTGATTTTACTACAATTTAATATCAACAATATTACATTAGTGAAGTTTTGTAGGGTTGATATTATTGTCTAACCACTGTCCAATTCTCACCTGCTTACTTCTTAAAAGTCTACTTTTATTGTACTTAATATCTCCTCACCGTTAGTTCGCTGCAGCCAATTAATGGATAACCAGTGCAATTTATTAAAATAGGCTATGCAAAAGCCAAAAACTGTTTATCACAACACATTGATAACTTTTGCATTACTTTAGTCAATTTCGCAAGACTTCATGACTACAATTCCGTATTGAGAGAATCGACAGTAAGCCAAATACCATTTTTGAGTTCAAGTTATTTTTTGGATATTGGAAAGTCTAGGAGGAACCCGAATTGTTTCAAAGACCACCCAGCAATTGATTTCTGAATGCTGATTCTCTTTCACGTGATCGCTCTTGAGTAACCTAGTATGATAGCCGTCATCCCGTTACATTTCCGAGGTCGTGACTTAATCCAATTTTGTTGCCAAAACATTAGTCAAGCATCTGCAAATTTGCCACAACATGTGATATTTGGTGTTGCTGTCATTTAGATACCAATGATTTTGATAATAAGCTTTCATGATGTCTGTCACATACGTCGGATGATTTGAAAATGTTTAAACGGTGATTTTGTACCTTCCTCCAGTTTTATACCAGGAGCAGTTCAATTAGCCTATCATGAGATGCAGGGAGCCCTGTGTTCAATCACATGATAGCATGTATGAAATACTTGACCTGTCTTACTGTTTACAACATATGATGCAAACTTTTAAAAATGTATTGATTGCAGACAATTTATTTCAAAACGAAACAAGCAGTTAGGAAATTTTAGCTATAACATTCAATTGCACTTTAGGCCTGTAGTAGGATAAACGTTGCTATCTGGTTTTGGATTGTTAAAAAAATATTCATGATTACGATCTGTCATTTACGATATCGACAGGTAAGTGAAATTGACGATTTGTCATTAATTACCGGCACCGACATATTTATCCATTCAATTCAAATTGACACAGATTTGCTTTGTGTGTTCCTCCGTTCTTTCGGTATTTATTCACTTCTAATAATCTCTTTGAATTGTTAAATTACCCCTAAGTGTATGAATTAATTATATTTGACACTTGTGACATGGCGCTTCAGTGGGTGCTGTGAAGGTAATGGTGAATATCATAAAGTGGGAGACAAAAAAGATGACTTCGAAGCTGAACAAGAGTTCTTCCTGGTATTTAATCGATGCCAACAACATGCGGTCTGCCTACCTCTTATTATTATCACTGTACTTAAATACCATGATCTATTAAGAACCAGGTTTGGATAAACCAGGCTGTGTTTTTATCTGAATTTTGGTTTGAAACATCATTTAAGTCTAGTTGCGTTTATTATTAAAATACGTCTGATAAAAGCTTAAGCAAGCACCGCGTGTATCGATTATGAAAGCTTAAATAAGTTTAAAATTGTTGAAATTAGTATTACTCCAGATCATCCTCATCCAATTCATTGTTCGCGCATGCCATTTCTACATTCACTTAGGTTAAACCCCGAGTGGTTGTTCGAAGCTTACGCAAGTGCATTGGGACGAGTTACTCGACCTTTAGCCAAGGCAGTAAAAATTTTTTTCACGCAGTCACGCTTTTGTCTTTGAAATGGGAAATATATGGCTTGAGGCAATCAGGTAATCATGCTTTTGGTTATCAGTGATCGTTAAATCCATTTACCTGTTTTATGTAGCTAATATCACCACAATCATATGTTGCCTACTGACGTCATTGTATAAGTTGTACTTTTCTGATGTTTGAATGACATTCACTGCCCGTGAAAGAAGCATAGCAAAATTTACCATTCTAGCTCCAGCTTGGCATGTCACGCACCAAAGCCTTCTTACGCTCTCACAGACTGTTCCACACAATCTATTTTTCCATGTGTTTATCTCCAAAAAAAATGTGTCCTCACCATTTCAGGTCTTCTGGTTATTCTCTACTCCCCATTTGTAGTCTAGTGCTCGAAACCATTTAGTAACCCTTTAGTGAGAACTATCTGCAGTAGTTTGTAGGTCTAAACAAATGGAATTAGTGAAATGTACCATGTATTTTTGGTTGCCCCATTTTGTTCCTGTTTTAGAACAACTGCTAAGCGCCCTATGGAGTTTCTTCACTCGGGATCAGTGCTCTGCGAATGACTGACTCAGCATGTTACGCTTTGGAACTAATTTATCTGTGCATGGGTAACGTTAATTGCTACTCATCATGCATGACCAAACTGTCTGTCACTAACTCCTGTTAAGAAAAAAGATTGTGCAAAGTCGTTGGTGATATTAATGAATTTGGTTGGTAATACTCCGTGTTTCTTCCTTAAAGTTATTCGTGTTCTTTGACTTCTTAAGACTTGTTTTGAAGGTCGAAACACCATCATATTTTTTCTAACTGGCCACAAATCTACCTACTAAACATGAACCTGGATCGAATTGACGCTGGGAAGCTGGAAACCTGATTTTCGAACGTGGCCGTCAAAATGCACAAATTGTTTACTCAGCCTAAGACATCGATTATGCACTGGTCTACATACAAAATTTCGTCAAAAAATTAAAGGCATTTATAATAATGCACAATGCCAAAGACACATTTCTACTTTGTTACGTAAACACCACTAAATGAAGCAAGAAACGAAATGCTCTGGTTGCAAAAATGAGTTAACAACTTGCGCATTTCCTTTACAAAGAAACAGAAAACTATAGGTAGATATTTACAACGTGGTTGAAAGGTGCCCAGTCGATTTGGTAATTTTTGCAATTAAGTAGAATCTACAAGAAACCAGCTAGTTTAGTTGTTTATAAATTCGGGCACCACGAAAATACCGTTAATGCGGTATTATTCTAAATTATGAATTTAAAGCAGCTTGTAGCTAGTTTCGCGACGATTAATGATGTGTCTACATTGGGATTGGTTCAAAATTTTGGTGTGGTGACCCACAAGAACACATTAAATATGATGAGATCGGGCGTGAATTTCAATCTAATCGGAATGCGCACTAATGATGCTGGCGTTAAAGCTTAACAAAGATTAAAATAAATATTAATCACATGAATTAAAAATCAAGAAAAGTGAGTGTGAGTCGCGCAAAAAACAGCCTGTGTTGCATAACTGTGCACTTATACTGAGGACATTTATACCAAAAGTGTTAAGTTAAAGTGAACGGCAACTATTCATACAGACAGTCTTTTCCAAAATTTTAAGCTCTAAATTAAGAACTTTTAACAAGCCTGTTGAGTAGGCATTTCGCACAATTAGTGCTACCCATGCCAAGTCAGGGCAAAAGCTTATTGGTTGAAGGCAGATAGTACTAACTATCTACAGCTAACTAGTAGTTCCCTCCATCCTAGCGTTTTGTAAAAATAATCAAAATCACTATCCTTAGTCCCTATCAATGTGCGGCGGTCAAGCAAAAAATGTTTTTTTCAAACTACTCTGCCTATTTTAATAAAATTCATAAATTTTGCAACTCTTCTAAGAAGTATTTTTAGATGAAAACTAAACATTTAAAACGAAGTTAATTTTTTACATTAATATATCGAATGAGTGTATCATTATCCAGTATCCGTATTACATGTATTTGCATTATTATCTAAGACAATTTTTTTTCAAACACAAGAGGGACATTTCCGACATTTCAAGCAGCACCATGTTATTGCTTATACAAATTAATTACTAAAGATGGCGAAAGAAAAGAAATGACAATGTTTTAAAGCAGCGAATTCAGTCAATTAACACATCCCCTATCGAGCCTCAAGCATACCCCTGATAATATTGAGGTGACCAGTTGTAGTATCCGGGTGCTTGCACGTACTGCTGTTGTGGGGCATAGGCGGACACCTGAGGCGTAAATTGAGCGTTAGGGGGAAGCATAATTGATATTTGTGGCTGCGAATTCGGATCGCAGTAATCCTCCGTCCCCTGTTCATCAACCGTCGATTGGGTGAAGGGCGGTGTCTCTTGCCTAGGCGACTCAAGAAGAATTATCAATGGCTGTTGAGGTTGTTGCAGCTGTTGTTGATCTTTCTTGGACGATGGTCGTTGAGACATCTCTGATATCGAAGATCGGGTCCTCGACTGGGCTGCAGAACAGCAGCAAATACTCCTACGACGACAAGATGACCCTCTATCTCTTGCGCAGAAGCAGCGAGAAGGTGGCTGTGGTGAAGGATGTGGTTGTGCAGCTGGACGCCGTGTGGAATGATGCTGTCCTGACTTCGGCCGACGACTTCGAGAGGAAGGCCGGGTCCGTGGAAGAGCTCGATCGTATTCTCCATCAGAAATCCATGAATCGACGCCGGAGGAGGAGGTTGCCTTCGAGGAGCAAGAGCTAACCGAGTCCTCTGAATACTGTGGAGAGGGCGCCCGTTTGTTGTGACGTCGCGACTGAATACGACGATAGCGTCGCGATGGTGGGACCTCTCGGATCACCTCTTTGACAACTTTGTGGTAGGGTGGTCTTCCATAGAGTTGGGGTGGAGGGGGAAATAGAGGTTGAGGAGGTGGCACTGGGGCGGGTTTCGGCTCGCTTGCCACAGGAGGTGCAGGTTCCGGTTCCTTTGGTTGCGGTGGCGGTGCAGGTGGCGTCGCAGGACGCGGATCCGTTTGAGGTTTTGTGGCAGTTGATTCAGCCTTCTCCTCAATCTCTTGGCGTTGGACAGAAGCCTTGACAATGACAGGCACTTTGACAATGATGGGGTCCACTGGAGGGTCGTACATACGTTCATTTTCTTTCATGGGATTTGGAATAATCTCAAGATGCGCCTTGGGAACATGGCCGGTCCTGCCAGATGGGGCTCTCAAGCACCACCAGGAACCGACATCATCGAGAACCTTTAAGATGATCAAAATTACATAAATTCATTTTGAGATAGTGTACTTTCTTTTGAGGCTCGTTGATCAAAGCAACCAGGCTCTCTAAAAACATTAGGATCTTGAAACGCATCGAATCCAAAAACAATTTATAAAATAAGAACTAATTGGCAATACCGATCCACTTAACCCAAATTACTTTACTTTAATACGTTAATTTTTGCGTTTATCAAAAATACGTATATGAAAAAAAGTTAAGTAGTCACACGAAAGGTTAAGAACATACTATGTAATTTTGCTCGAAATCACAATTTAGTTTTATAATAAAATACGAATGTAGCGTTCTTGTTAGTCAAAAGTAGGCTTAAATTCAAGATGTGACCAATTAAATTTAAATTATTAAGGATTAGTTTTGCCATTACACCCGCCAGTGTAAATCTTTACCAAAGGAACAACGGCTAAACTTTGTGATTATGGTTCCCCAAAACTGATAATGAGAATGTGAGAGACTTGGAGAAATCTGTTAACAACGCCTAAATCCTGTGGCTCGTTATTGAAGCAAACGGTACAGTGGGATGATTTCGAGGTTTGTTGGGACAAGTTCTTCTCATTAACCAAACAGTAACAGGGACATTTTTGACAAGTCCACAAATTTTGCCAGTGTTGGGCCACAGTAAATTGACGGCAACTAATTTGTGCGGACAGGTGAGCTTACAAGGTGTTAGTTAAGCGAAGTAAAAACATGTGGCGCGCGGGTATTGTTACTGTGACTTTGGCCGCATTCGAAGTAATCGTTTATGCCCATAGAGACTTTTAAAAATAAAAGGAAGGAAAAAATTAACGATTTTAAAATCCTACTATTCTTATATTCCACTAGAGAAATCTGCTGTACTTCCACATGGGTTCACACTCATGACATTTGAACTAAACTGATAAATGCGCACAGGTACTGGCTCCCTGAGCTACATTTAATATTCATCACTTAGTTACCCTCGTAAATTCTTACAGGGTTACTCTGAATGTGATGGCCTAGAATTTTGTTTCTAATCTCTAGAAAGAGCTCTCTAGCTAGCACGGGCGTGTAGTGTAATAAAATTTGGATTTTCATCGGTAAAATGGATTTCTTGCCTGCATGCTCATTTCACTTTACGGTGTCAACTCACCTCAAGACAGAATTTCACTTTCCAAGAGATAGAGTTTTTAAGACACTATTCTTAGTATTCCCCTGTCAAACCAACAATTTAACTTAAATTTTTAGGTTACTCAAGACCTTGATTAGTTTCCACACTGTCAACTCGGATTACGTCCCGGACGAACAAACGCAGAGAAAATTTGACTCATGACCAATCCTTTCCTTTTATATACACGAAGAGGTTTTTTGGCATGTTTCTTTTACACTATGAAGCCTGCTTGGCTCAAGTGACCAATGTTCAGGCTCGAGCAGAGGCCACAAGTACTGGAAGACGTACAAAACGATCGAAAACATCGTAATTTATAATTCTTAAAAAACGCTGATACCAGAATCTCTTTGCTGAATCCTTATTTTTTTTTCATTTTAAACCCATCGCTTCCGTGAAATAAAACCCAGTTTGTTTTGGTGAATTTTTGTTTTAAAGCCTCACCTCGTTTGTCCTCGACACACCCTAAATTAAATATGGCCCTACAACGTTTATCTCTTCTCCAGAACACACTCCAGTCTCCTAGTAGTAGACCAAGGAACTTGGCACCCGATTATGCCACGTCGTCCTACTTTTCCACAAAGGTATTTACGCTAGAGTCACCACGAGCTCAAACGATGCTTTTTACAGAACATCATCCAAGAACCAGCTGAGTGCATGAGTCGCATTAATTATAGAAATTAAATATCTACCAAATAAAGGTGACTGTGCTGACGAAGGCTGTGTGCCTGTGAATAAAAATGTGAGTCTTGTGAAGATGTTTGACTTTAGAAAACCAGCATTCTGAAACTCCAATGCAAAGCTGACAAAGTTCACACGTTGCAAAAGACTTTAACCCCCAGCCGTTTCCTGTCTGAACGCCTTTCTATTTTATGACCTCTGTTGCCACGTAGAGTAGGCTCATCAGAAAAAGTCTTTTCAGTTTGAGTTTAGCCAACGTTTAAGTAAAAAACCCTTTCAAAGAAAACAAGACAATGAAGAAAAGTTATGCTTGACTTACTTATTTGACCATTTAATCATATCGGAGGTGCACTTCGGTTAAACTTGACAATCATTAGAAGTTTAATCCTCATTAGCCCCTCAAACCGAAAACAGCTCGACATCACACTAGCAGTGAAATTACTGTGCATGAAAGGAGCTCACAGGCTCTGACACACGCATGCATCAACGGTAACTTTCATATAGGCCTTATGTTTTTTTTTCAAATATTCGGCAGAATTAATCAATTGCCGAAGTTATTTGCTAAAACGCGCAGTCTAATGTTTCTTGAGAGGGCAATTTACCTCAAAAATGTCTCCTGGATGAATTGTAAGTTCCTTATCATTTCGGGCCTTGTAGTGTTTCTGGGCGATGGCCAAGCTACGGAAGAAAGGAAAGTTAGTTACTCAGAGAAAAAACCCCACGTTAATGCAAAATAGGCGCAAATGTTGACACGACACTTCGCTGGAGCAATACAACTGAAGGGCTTCCTTCATCACAACGGTGCAACCGATATCAGATGAAATTATGCACTAAATATACCATTGGGATAGATTATCAAAAATCTATGAAGTAAAGTTTAATTCATCGAAATACAGAACCCACCTACTACTCGCCTATGTACCAAGCAAAAATACCACACACTTTAAATGACAATCAAACCAATACCTACATTGATTATAAAGCTAACGTTCACGTTCACTGGCACTTCTCGTGTCCCCTTTACCTACCACACCAACTCTATAAATGAGAAACTCAAGTGCACCCAAATACACGTGGCAAGTGCTCGATTGCCAAGACCTACATTCCGTTAACGGCATACGAACATTCAAAATAAACACGTGAGAGGAACAATTTCTATAAAATTCGATTGTATGCAATAGAGAGGGAAGATGAAAAGACCTAAGAGGTGACAGAATCGAGTAATCCCAAGTTCAAGGATTTTCCACTAATGAGCACGCACTCTTGGATTGCCACATGGCTCTTAATGTGGACGAAGGAAGAAACTTCCATTGACTTTGTGTTGCCAGAAGCCTGAAGAGTCTTGACTCCTGTTGGCAGCATATCTGGTTTTCATTAAGAGAAATTCGATTTTATCATTCCAGTATTTATTGGCATGACATAAAACCAGTCAATCGTTCAGCTGAATGCTAATCGTTTCATTCATTTTGTTATCGAACTAATTGAATGGAGGTTAACCCTGTCCCGGGTGGCCGAAATTACTCACATAACCTCAGCCATAATATGCCGTTTTATCTTAATTGCAATGCCTCCGCAGTTCTGCAATCGGTAAGTGAACTTTTAGTGCAGGTAACTTTGTGTTCGCCCATTATCATATTGCACTAAAACATCGAATCGGCTCTTCATCGTAAAGTAGTCTGGCAGGGACTGAATTTACATTGGTAGATTAAAGACACAACGAGAGTACTTAGTATGGACGAAGAAAATTATTCCGGAATCCAGGTGACTTCTACTATAAAACCTCTTACATTACTGTGTTTTCGCAGATTGGTTTTGCTCAATAATTAGAACCGCGTTTCGCTTCACACTTTCAACAGCAACAACAACAACAACTAGTAATCTTCACCACAAAAAAATATCATAAAAAATCAAAAATACATCGAATAGGCTGAATGAATTCGCTCCCAATGCCACCACATCCCTCACAGGGTCTGGTGCGCATGATTCTTTCACACGGAGTTTCCGCTAATACAATTAGCCCCTATTATTTGAGCTAATTTGCTTAAGTCAAGCCATGTGTGCCAAACAATGTAAAATACTTGTTTTTATCCAATGATGACACGCCAATGCAGCATCTTGAGCTAAGAAAAAGTCACAAGGAATTGCACTCTGTTAAGTGTAATTACTAATTCAAACACGCACACACAAGCCCAACACCTAACTAAACATGGACTTGGCGTATCATGCATCTTAACACAATAGGAGGTCCAGTAACATTCATTTCAAGAGGCTGCTAAATAACCTGCCTCAAATCAAATCACTTTGTGATGACGAAGCACTTTGCAAATATTTCCCATAAAAATCAAATCAGACACAAAGGGTTGTGTGGTGTTGCTGGTAATTCTTCAAAAATTTATTAAAAAATGCACACATTTGAGCCATATATAAAGTAAGGACGTGTGTCTTTCACGAGAACTCTGAACATGCCCACGTTTATTTTGGTAACTTGGCCCATTACAAACTGAAAAGGTCGTTATTTCGTTGTGAAAATGGGTTTACAAGTCACCTATTAGCCCTAAATAAACTGAACTTTTATTATCTTTTCATAAATGTTTTTGGAGCCTTTGGTCGGAATGAAATTTAATGCCACAGGGGCCGATCAAAGCATGCATGACATTGATCCATATGTTGGTGGCATTTCCGACCACAGAGCATATTGCCTCAGTAAATGAGATCTCATTTCGGCTAACTCTAAATCGTTTGTGACGGTTACAGTCAACCTTCAGTAAATCAGACATCATAAAATGTATAGATTAATTCGCTCCTAAAGAGATGATTTGGCTTATCATGGAATCATGCGGATAATCATTGCTGCTTAATTGGATAACATATCTAGCACATAAAAGAATAGGCCGTATTACGTTTCTGATAATGAAACTTGAAAATCAGGATTGTGTCCGGACACTCAATCACCACACACATGGCAAAGACGTTACCCGGCAACCATGAGCACTAATTCCATGACTGCTCATATTTGCCTCACACTTATATTCCTATTCATATCTAACATGTTGTAGATAAAAACCTGAGTTTCGTTGAAGTCAGGTCGTTAAAAACCAATTAAAGTTACATTATTTGACAGCAGTAAAGTGCTAGGCCGTGTTAAGCGTTTAAGTTGACAAGAGAAATCACACAATGTAGCTCGTGTCTTAAGGTGAAAAAAGACCTACATGGGATTAGGGCATGCTAAAAACAACAGCAAAACGGTATGTGAATATGAAGTAATTCGTGACGCGCCCGCCTTGTATCTGTGTAGTACCTACTCCAAAGACGCTACGACTAGGCAATTACACATTGAGAGTGGCATCTGTGGCAAGTGCGAGATTAAGTTATATGTGGGTTGATCACGCAAATATTCTCTGTGTAGGTTGCTGAACACCTAACATGAGAAAACGGATTAATTAGAGTTAAATAAATCAAAAGTGGTACAACACAACTGCGGACTCTTGATTTAAGGCAAGAGATGGTAAAGCGATAAGTTACATTAGGTTCCAATAGAATGTCATCTGAAAACTAGGTCTAGTTTGCGGTAGCAGCGTTTTACGTATAATATTTAGAAAGCAAGTTTTGATTTTAAACTGCCGAGGGGATTTTACACAAATATTCCAAGTGCTTTACGTGGCGAAACATGGCAAACAAATAATTTAAACAGCCCAAGCACCAACAACGTCATTTACGTCAGAGGACAATTTTTAAAATTCTTTTGTACTGTTTATCAGTCATGAATATGTCAACTGTAAAAACACAACACTGAGCAATGTGTGCTCATTCACACACTAATGCTGAGCATTTGAGACTACTGTATGAACTTAAAAAGAACCAATCTAAAGACAGATTGTTTGCTCACCTTTTCATACGCTCATTGACAGACTCGAAAAATTCCTCAAGTTCCGGTTTTGAGGTCTGTATTACTCGTCGCGAATGGCTATCTAACAGTAAAAGTAAAAAGACAGATTCCCCTCTACCTGATCTCTTCTTGTTGTTTTTCTTCTTTTCCATTAGCTTGTCGACCACAAAATCTTCAATGAAAAAATGCAAGATAGGGGAGCGAGGGGGACAAACAAATACTCAGCTGGATTCTTGACTCTGAGTTCACAAGAACAAAGTTCATTTGAAGCAAGTCTGACTAATGTAAAAGATTTAAAATCTTTGAAAATATTCTTGACAGAAGAGCAACTACTATCACACAGGTCTATTGTTGTGAGCTACCGAAGGCATAAGATCGATTGGTAAGGTTATTGAGACTGTAATCTGCTTTACATAGTCCGCAATTCAAGTGCTTTTCGTGATTAGTGAAAACAATGTAACCTTAAATAAAAGCACTCGGTTTGTTTTGCAGAGATGACACTGTTAAGTCTTATTAGATTGCATTAAGTAAAAGAGGTTAAACCAAGGAATAAGTCACGAAAACACAAAATTGAGGCCGCAACACGTTTCATTTGACCTTAGTGTCTAACCACACCCAACGGGCTAAAGAATGCATTTTCTAAGCTTTGTTTATATGTTTTATTGTACTAAATATCTGTCTTAACATTCTAGAGAGCTTTATAAAGAGAAACAGAACATCAAACAGCACTATAGGAAAATTATTTAAATATTTGCATATTTCCATGATCAATCAAAACTGGAATATATTAATTCTATGCCACAGAAAGACATGTTATATACAGTGCTGCTATATTCAGTTTAATAAAAGCAATAGCCTGAAATTATATATAAAGTTGACTTAGTATGATTTTATCCAATGACTTAAAACGACTCCTGCCGACGAAACGTTACAATATACTGTTAACAGAGCAGTGGTCGAGTAAAATGCATACAACTTTTTAACAGCTAAATTCAAGAATAAACTAAGCAGCCAATTATTAAACCGGTTTTGTTTTCACGGGCCTTGATGATAAAAAATCAAAATTTCATTCCCAAGAAGAGTTGAAAGTCGGATATCAGGAACTATCTATAATGTTGATATCAAATACTTTTATGCGAAGAAATTACACAAAATGGTATTTAAAGCTCATTATTTACTTCCCCAAAAAAGTGATGTATTCCGCAAGCCGACAGATGTAAAAGAAACAAACTACCTCCCACCACTAACGCTGGCCTTGAAATAAAAAAATTGACAATGTGGTGGGGTCAAACAAACCTTTAAAGGTTGGTTTTAATAGTTCAAAAATTACGACCTTATTCTACGTATCTCTTATGTCTTTTGAATAAAATTATTGTGAAATTCCCAATTAGCTTTTAGAAATTAGATTAAGTTTTAATTCATGGAAATCATGTAACTTCCAATTAGAAACATAATTTCATGCTTTGAATTTCTTTAAATTTCTTAAATGACTACTTATAAAGCTTGCGAGTCAGTGCCATTAGTTGATTTTAACATGCATCATAAGTAAAAAAGGCTGAAGTGGGTGCTAACTAAATGGCTAGGAAAGAAAATACAAGAAACCATGGCAACAAAATCATGTGGCCGAAATAGGTGCCTTGACTTAGACACATGTAATGACTGTTTAACAATGTAAGTTATTATTACCCTAAAAGTAAGATTCAGTCTTAGTGTGATTCATGGGAATAATTATGTGTAATGACATATTACTCTAGAGGAAATGTGCCATTGAGTTATTTGGCAGAGGCTAGATAAATTAATCCCACCTATGTAGCATAGAGATGGCAGCTGGTTAGTAAATCATTGTTGCATGCATACAAATTATTAGTCTCTTTATGGGTGCAAAGAGCTTAGGAAAGGAAGGGTCTCAGTGCGATAGAAAAGTCCTGATCACATCTTCTTAAAGACTCCAAGTTCAGTACAGGTTTTTTTTAGATCACACTGAATGGTGCTGTCACCGTCAGCAAACACGCCAACTACAAGACTGTTGCTGACTTGAACGAGGTCAATGTACTGAAACGTCAAAACGGCGCACCCTAAAGCCACAGTCCGTAATTTTCTCCACAAACGCTGACCAACGGTGGTGATCTTTTCAACGTTTCAACGGCCCTTAATTTGACCACCAGTTCTGACTATTCAATTCACATTTCCGACCACAAAACCGGGAAACTCCATAAAGCCAATTGAATTGGAACAAAGACTGATTCATACCCTGAGTCATGCGAAATGAATTTGTTAATCCAGAGAATTTGATGTTGCTGGATCACAGGAGGTAGTTTTGTTGGGGATTTAACATATTAAATATCTTACTGTTCAAGATTTTAAAATCATTGATTTTTCATTACCGCTTGTGTTGTTTGCTTTCAGTTTGTTGAATTCATTTGGCCGCCCATGCATCTTTAAATGAACCGTTTCTCGAAACCGCCCATGTCATTTGCAAGTTGACGCATTCTAACATGGATTTGGCGTCGTGGTTTTGTTGTCAAGCTAACCTTTGCTCTTATACATATTTTTTTTCCTGTCTTTCAAATTAGCTTATCATCTTTTACTCATCATTTAGGAGAACAGACATAATCTAAGAGTTTTGCATTTGCATATTTTGTGAAGATCTTACCTTACTTATACAGAACGCAGTATGGAGTTGAAATCTTGTTGTCGAATGGAAGTTCGTTATGCATGAAATTATTTTTATGTGGGTTTAATATCAACGACACGAACACGAAGTTTAACTTTGATCAAATTCTTCAACAATCTTACAATTAATGACTCTTAATCTCAGTAAAACTGGTTAAAATTTCATCTGAGGATCATGTCAGCTACACTATCTCGTTCAACAGAATTTACCTATGAGCAACAACATTTTTTTAAATTAATATGAACACTGCCATGTGGTAAATATGCCAGTCTTAGTTGTGATTTCTGCGAAATTTTACCTACAATCATACAAACTACTCACGTCTCTCGCACGAATCGGTAACTTGTTTCGACGAACACAGACTGTGCTGCATGAAGCATTGCCTTCGTTGCGAATCGTGTTTATGCTCATCCCTTAATTCGGTCGCTCCACGTCCGACATAGGATTCCCCTTTTCACAGTATGGCGCCAGCCGTGCTGTTCCTCACTTCCCCCAGCATTCATATGGATATTTATCTCAGATTATTCTCACACCTAGGTCTTGATGTTAGCGCGTGTATGACTCACACATCCGAGGTATAAATACACGCGCAAACCCCACATACATCACCAACATGGTTGAACTAGGCAGTAAACGGTTGTGTCCATGTCATCTCTCGTCTTTTTCTTCGTTGCGGGTATCAGGGAAACGCAATCAGGCCTGGGTTAATTCCGTGGCCCTGGCGTTGTTCAAAACCACATGCTAGGGCCCACAACAATTGGTAACCCCTACAAAATCGCATATACAAATGCGACCAGGTGTACAACCTCTTAACATCCTAGTGACGTTCGGAATCTATGCTGCCCTTCATAAACACTCAGCCACAAGCCTAATAAAACATACTATAATTGGCGGTTAAAATAACTTGTTCTATATACCGTTACTTGTCGCTATTTAGCGCCATCACCGTTAAATGTTAGTAGGGGGTTAGGCAGCGGACCGTAACTAAAATACAATTAATAGCCACGAGCGTGGAAACGTGTGCTCAGGTTAGGTGACTAACATGATGAAGCGTTCCAAAGCGTGGAGCAGATATGACTCCAAGTAGTTTAGATGCGCAATGACTTAATTTGGGCTGATGAATTGAACCTCGTCGCACGATTCCACGCGAGAACAGGGCTCAAAGTATGCAACGGGAGTAATAGTTTTAAATAACTGATAGTGGCATGTTACTGGAGTGGTGATGGAGGGTTTCCCCATTAATTTCAACTTGCCAGAAATATCTCGAACAATTAAGGAGTTTGTGTGGCGTTGCAAACCTACGTTGACAGAAAACACGAATCTGCATCCTTGAATAACGTGGGTAAAAATGGGTGCATGTCGTACTTCTACGGGAGACACGACAGCAAAGTAGATAGGTAAAATATGCCGATTCAGAGAAATACATGTTAGGTGAGTAGAGTTCTGAGATCTTTGTGGTTATTGTGGTTCAAGTTAGGCATCAGCAGGAACTTTGAGTCTTGATGGTATCATGGCTTTTTCAGAGGACGCTGGTTCACCGATTATGCTCGCTATAATCATCGACGCGGAGAATATGAGGATGATGAGGCCAAATATGCAAAATAAACGATAACGAAGAAAGATACGCGAGGCGGCCGAAGAAATACGGCTCATCAAACTGGAAACACAAAATACATAGAATAAGATTGTATTTAACACGACAAAATAGGTTTTTGAACAATTAGAACGAGAGAAAAATATGAATTACTTTGAATATATTGAACTGAACTTTAAACCAAAAAAAATGCAATCGAAAGCAGACAATGTGCAACCACTAAAACATTTAAGGAGACGAACGTGAAAAACACTCGATAATGTGACGAGTTGACGCATTCGACCCTCCACCAACCAACATTGTCAATATTACCAACAGAACCCTTGGACCTTCCGCGTCGTTAAGGAAGACGCACTATGCTGTCTTCTTCTACGGTACCAATTACATTACTAATATTACGAGCAGTGTGTGTTGTTTAATGCATTCACAGACTCTTCAATGACTTTGATGCAAAGCATAACACAGGGAATACAAAGAAGCATATCTGCCTTTAACTCACACGTAACATTAATATATGGAAGCCAGACCAGGTGGTAAACTGGGATATTACAAATACTCTACTTATGCTAACTTCACAGTGTTGTCAGCCTACTCAATTGCCGTGTGCAACATGATAACCTGTCGAACTACAAACACGAATGTCTCAAAACACAGAATGTTTTGAGACAGAGAGCGCTACATCGCAAAACAAGGAAATGACTGCATTCGTATTCCATTAACAAAATTACATTGCAAATCTACCAGCGCCATTCAAAAGGAATCAACAAAAGTTACACAGAAACTCATCTGTCGAATAGTTTGTAGATTTTTGGACTCAGGACTCGGCAGTTCAAATAATGCACTTGTTTAGTCAGTATTGGAGGTGCAACTACTAGCCGAAGAATTTGTGAACACGGTGACATTCCCTGTGTCAATTCAAGCAGCTGACGAGAACTTTTTTAAAAGCAAATAGATTACCGAATTAACTACACTATACGAAAATTCAAGTACCACAGGAGGTTGTTGGTTAGTAAGTCTGTTCAGATGCCTTTACCTCAAGTTCGTCACGAAATTCTGATACTGTCACGTACATAAAAATACATCGAGGACACGCAATTTCGGAACATAGACGGTATTTGTATTTTTACACAGAATATACTTATGCTAAGCTGAATACACTTGGAGTTTAAAAGTAGGTGAGAGCGGGAGTGTTATTGGTATAAATAGGACAACACTGCTGTATGCAAATAAGACACTATTAACTCCTTAGGTAGAGAAGCATCATACTTCAGGAATTACGAGGTTAGCGGGTTGTGTTTTGATTGAGAGATGAACTTCATGAAAAGCAAGATTATTTGGAGCGCATGAGTTTCGATACGCACAAGTATATGGTATCTGAGACGCCTAATGGATTGATAATAGATGTCCCATCGACTTTTACCGCATCACTGCATAAAAATCAAGTCTAATTTAGTAAAGGAAACCGCGTGATATTTGGAAAAAAAGAAAGCAAGCACATACCCAGGTAAAGTAGGCGTATATTTCTTAAATCACATACCCGAGCGCATTCGCGGCTGTTTGAGATGGCGGATACGGGTGTCGCCGGTACTTATCCCTGTCTTCGTAATTGATAAGTAAAGTTCGTGGCTTTGAGTAACTTTCATTTGCAGGTACTTGTATGTCAGTGGAATTGCCTCGGAATTCCGCCCCAGATGTAATTTCCGTGGCTGAACCATGTAAATCCATAGACACGACAGTGTCATTTGACCTAGGAGGCAGCGCTTGTGGTGTAGTTACCATTTCGTGGTCATGTAGGAACTGTTTCGCGAAAGTATCCAAGGCAGAATCCAGAAGCTTTCCATCTGGAAGCGAAATTAAACAGGAAAAAAAAGTGGAAAAACAATATTGGTGGCTTAAAAACAATTATTACCATTGAACGCAAGAGACTCGTGTGCCTTATGTGATACGGCCTTTGTGCGAGCCGAACTGTACCTTTCCTGAAGATTCGGTTTAATCCACTTAGCGGAAGCAAGCTTTTGACGCAAAGCCTCAGCAACAGGGCCACCTTGATTTGCAAGAGGAATTATGGACTGGGCGCATGCAGGACATTCGTAGCCCGCAGGTGCCGTTGTTGGGGGTAGCTGAGAAGCATACCTATCTAGACACTGCCAATGGAAAACATCTGACAAATGAAACTAGGACAAAGTTACCTAGGCACATCAACCTAACACACTCATCCGAAATCGACCCATTTAGTTCTTTCGAGCATAACAAGCATTGAGATGAGTAATCGCTATCCTTGAGCCAGTGAAGATACGATTTAACCACACACTATAAAGAAAGTTTGAATAATTGGCATAGTTACAGTAGGATGATTAGTTGTCAGGCAGAACTCGCATACATTAACGCGGTGCTCAAAACAGAAAAGATTCGTAACCTTCTTCCTATCACATTTACAAAGACCCATTCAATAAGTTAGAACCAACGCGTCAAACACCGATCTACCAGAATACAAAAATACCACAGAGTCATTCACGGAGCTTAAACAAGCTTACATGCTTACGGAAAATCAATATAACAACAAGCATAACATGTAATTAAAAGACCATGTATTAAATTTTAAAAAAAAGTTATGAAAACCGACTTTAAAAATAGTTGTATGAAGCAATTTAGTTGAATAATAAGATACCAAATATTTAGGCAAATGAGGCAAAGACAAATTTTTTATCAAACTATAGCATTTCAGAAGCTAATATTTAAATCTTCCAGTTTGGCCGTTTAAAAAATATACTGAATTACCGGGTATTTCGATTTCAAGTCCATAATACTGCCAATTAAGAAGGAAAGCAATCCAAAGTCAACATTTGGGGGTTTTAGTTTATAAAGCATTTGTTAAAAATACAGACTGACCGTTACCGTTAATCATTTGAATATATTCATTTTTTATGGATCAAATTCAGCTAGATTTGAAGAAGTAGCAAGGGCTCGTTGCAAATGCGTGCTAAAAAGTGATTGCATTTAAGATCGTAGAATTACAACGTGACTAATGCAACCTTTATTGCAATGCAGTGAGTTTCCTTTATAAATTCACTAGGATTTTTTTTTTGAAAAAGAAACATGAACTGGACAAAATATACACAGACACAAATAAGAAGAAAAAATTGACACGTTCCTGAATAGAGCCTCTTATGTAGCGTAAAAATCTATTACTTGCAAAATCATTTTAGCATACTATGCATTGTCCTTTTTTTCCAGAAAATAGTGGGTATTTTAACGGCAGTGCGGCAAATCAGGGAAAATCATTGGTTTGTGGTCGTGTCAATTTTTGTTGCGGTTTAGCTTATATAAATCCTTAACTTCAAATCATCACACTCTAAAAATCTTTGAGCGCTCTACCCTAGTTGAAAATTTAACACTGCGTTGCTACATATTACGAAAACTGTTACGACTGTTTGTTTAGGTATATCGATTTCGGTTTGCTGTATACGAAATATAAAGGTCTTTAATTGGTAACCAATGGGATGATTCAGTTGTAAGTTTAGATTTCACCTGGTTACTGTTTCTATAAAAGACGATCTCTAGGTAGACTCTTTTCGGGTATTAAAGGTGTCTATAACGAACTTAACCCAGCAACGCTTACTGGAGCTGTGGATGTCATTGTTGTTGAGGATAATGATGGCAATTTCTGTTCCGGACCATTTCATGTTCGATTCGGTAAGATGGGTGCCATTAATCCTGCCGATAAAATCGTGGAAATCTATGTTAATGGAGAACAAGTGGAGTTTCTACACATGCGTTTGGGTAGTGCTGGTAGTGCTTATTTTGTTGAAGATGTTAATTCACCTCTGATTGATAGTGACTCTGAATCCAACACCTCAGGAACATCCTATGCATTTTTGGACTCTAGCGAGCCTATCATGAGGGTTCGTTCGGTCGAAGATATAAGTAAAAAGCCCGTCATGCAATATAGGAATCGTCGTCGTCGCAGGAAATACACTAAAGACGTTATTGTAAATAAAGGCCAACCAAATTTCACAGAAACTCCAAGAACTTACGATTTTCCCTGCAACTCACCCGCTTCTATGTCGGACAGTGAAATCGAAAAACAATATACCGAGAGGATTCCTATAGAGAGCTGTAATGTAAATTCTTGGAAGCCAGTGGGTTTCTTAGAGGAGTTGCGTTCTTCCACCGACCAATCTCCATCAATATTCACGCGAGCCCGGCAAGCTTCCGTACAGGAGGGTGTCTATTTAGAAGATCTTGTAACTTCGTCGGTCGATGAAAACTTTAAACAGGCCTATTTATACGTTGCCAGTCAAGATGAAAGGAAAAAAAGTCAATATAGAAGTCAAGAATCGAATGCAGTCGATGCGGGTTATCGGTCAGATCCGGAACACTCCATCTACAGACCAATGGAAACTACAAATCAGATTTTCGAACTAAAGCTTTCACTTTGCGGCGGTCTTTCTGCGGATTCTCAAATTAACTACGATCAATTTTGTGCTCATCTGGTCACGTTCGAGGAATTTTCGAAAGATCCCGCTGTTGTTGTCGCAGATCCAAATCTCGTTTTACTTTTAAACGGAAAATTCTATAATTGGAATACTGCTGCCCCAATGATACTAAGCTATGCTTGCTTTCGAACTGAGTTACCTTACAGTTCAATAATTCGTTTAGCAGAAACATTTATGCCCAAAAAACGGCCTCGTCGCAGAGCCTGGTTCACTTGGGCAACAAGCGAACCTGATCCGTTACCTGCCTCAAACTCTGAAGTCAAGGATGTTTTGTCAGAATCACCGATACTTGAATCATCTGGAACTCAAAACGTCACTCCCACATCCGTAGCTGCTGGTTTACAGAGAACAGATGAAACTCAATGCCCTCGGCGGAGAATTACTCTCACCTCTGAAGAAATAGATGGTTTGGGTTTGAAACCTGGGGCAAATGACATTGAGTATCGCATCGTCACGAAGTATCAGGGTACTGCCAGTTGTACGGCGAAAATTTATCTTTGGCGGTCAGACGATAAATTGGTTGTATCTGACGTTGATGGGACTATAACCCGTTCGGACATCCTTGGCCACGTTCTACCTATGTTAGGTCGTGATTGGACACATGACGGAGTCGCCGAATTGTACTCAAAGGTGGCTGAAAATGGCTATAAATTTGTCTACCTTTCAGCTAGGGCTATCGGCCAGGCCGGAGTTACGCGTAATTACATTGAACAGGTGCTCCAACGCGATAAGTTCCGTCTTCCCGACGGTCCAATACTTCTATCCCCCACATCCCTTTTTGACGCCTTTCATCGGGAGGTAATCGCTGGGACACCAGAGGTTTTCAAAATTGAGTGTCTCAAGCAATTAAAAAACCTATTTGGGCCAGACTCCAACCCTTTCTTTTCTGCATTCGGAAATCGTGCGAATGATGTGAAGGCCTACATGGAATCTGGATTTGAGTTAGGTCGGATCTTCACCGTGAATTCGAACGGTGAACTGCGAAATGAGTACCTCCCTGTTATCAGTAATTCCTTTGATGACATGGTTCGCCTCGTAGATCACCTCTTCCCCTGCATTCCACCTAAGGCGTCTGATTACGATCTTTCTGAATCGGACGATGAGGTCATGTTGCAAGTTAAAAGTGGAAACGTCCCTGTCGATGTGTCAGTTTTCTCATCTTTCACCTTCTGGCGTGATCCTGTACCTACTGGAATGACAATGCCGACTTAAGTAGAATGGGATATTTCCAATTTACACGCATTTACGAAACCCCCCCCCCTCTATATAGCAAGGAAATACTGACTTAATTTTGTCTACTTGAATTACCTTGTTAACTCTTAATTGGCGTTGGCAATCTTTTTCTGCCCTGTCATCCATTGTAAATCAAAGAGCAGTCTATTAAATTATCTTGTTTAAACTACGATTCTATTATATTGGTGTAGCATTTTGTCTCGGATGTAACCCTTGCGTAATGGCCTTATTATCTTTGCTAGGCCTTGGGACCAGTAGGCGATCCTGAATTTTCTCATGCGGCGGAGTGTGTGCGGGAAATCGCAGACACCCTTCCTAGTGAAACACTCTTATACTTATACTCAAGATACAAACAGGTACGTGCGATTTCATTTGCGGATTCGGGACGCTTCTAGGTGCAGATAACACTACGATTAACGTGGGTCGTAAATTGAAGCCAGCACAAGCTAACTTGATAGAGTTGAGTGGGTGTGACTTCAGACATCCAATTTGATAGATACTAAAGTAGCACTAGAATGTATTCATGAGGCGAACGAACATGAGTAGACCATTAATTTTGCAGTGCGTTACATGTTCGGGTTCTCATTTAAAACTTGTTGTGTTGTAATGACCTTCCAAACAGCCGAGGGGGTGTTGGGTTTTACCTCTGTTGGCTCTCGTTTTAATCCTTTGCTTTTTAATAAACTTCCAGAGGTTAAGACAATGAGTCTCGTGGAAAATTTGTGAAAATCGAGTGATTTCATAAGAATCATACTTCTGTCAACAGCACGAGTAATCTATCGCTAGACTTTTAGGCAAAGGTCATTACGTCTGCCGAAGTGATAGATAAATTACCTAATCACAAAAGCTCTACCAATAGATAATACCCGTATTACAGAAGTGAATAATCGTCTCGAACCATGAACCACTTGAACAGATTATCCAGTTTAAACGCCAACTTCGTTGTGATTCAGCTAACCGAAATCTGACAAGTTCGCATGCTAGAAGGGCGTGGATATGTTTTACTCATTGCAATCCAAGCGAATTCGGTGCATTAATTGGCACGAAGTCGATGCAACTCCTTGCAGGAGGAGTCTTCTTTTTCCACACCATCCCTTTTGCAATCTGTGAAGAATTAATAATGAATGCTATCAATACTATTTCATTAGAGAAATGTCAATTAACTCAAGTGGGAGTAATTGTATGCTGAAGTAATTCAGTGAGTTCCATAATCTTCTTCAAGGCATAATGAAACTACGTCCACTCTAAATCTCTTATCACTCCGTGAAAATATACCTATTGTAGATGTTCCTTAAGACCTAAGGTGTGGTTGTCTGTGACCCGCTTGTGTGTCTACCGAATTGGTTTGGTCAACTGGGTTGATTCGATCAGGTACCTAGCTACGGTTTATTTAAAAGAACACAGTTTATTTTGCAGGTAAAAGTGGCACGCATTATTTAAACAGTCTCTTTGTTTCACATGTTCAGTCAGTTTCACATGACTGCTGCCTACTTTTGTTGCAAAATGATGCTTTCTGGGGCTTTCAAAAGCTATAACATTTGAGGTTGCAAACATCATCGTAGTTATTGACCAAATTAAATCTTATTTTTACATTCAAGTAATCTGATCAATAAGTGACCAGCTTCATTAGGTTCCTGCCTCCTACGTGCACCCTTATGTAATGCATGGCCGTTGAATGCGAATACAGGTTTTGCCCACTAGTTGGACATTCATGTTGATCGTCCGGTGTATAATTGTTGCTTCCAATCTGCCATAACCATCATCATCGTATTGATCGCGTGTCTCGTCCTGCCTGCAACCGTTTTTCTTGCGCTTGGTTTTAGAGTGCTATTCCCTGTTTATCAGTGCCGCACATGACACGCCACATGTGTTACTCGGTCTTTTCTCTGAGACCGTCTGCACGAAGTCCTGTTTTCCTTGCCTGACCATATACCCTAGTATTTGGTTAAACCCAAGAATGGAACACTTCGCACAGTCATTAATGAGTATTTAATGTTATGCATTTCTAAGTTCTCACGAGTCTTCGTTCATGAGTTCTCCACAAGTTAGCTTGATTTTTTTGTTGCAGGCCACAGAGGGACCATGTAATACCCCGCAGCCTGGGTTCTTGGAGTATAAAGCTCGACAAAAGTGGTGGGTCACCAACACTCGATCAATCCTGCTCCTCATTCACTCAGTTTTGTCAAAACAATATCTATTTTTACACACAGGAATGCCTGGAAAGCTCTTGGGGATCTCTCCTCAGAGGAGGCGAAACGGGACTATGTTCAGAGAGTGTCAGAAATAGCACCAAATTGGACAAGCAAGGTAAGGCGTATGTGCTAGTTTAGAATGTTTTGCTCACTCCTAAACAATCTGTTCCATTTTTGTTCGTTTCTCTGTCTACTACTCCAAATGAATGCACAGAATTCGCTGGTGTATGCTTTATGGCTTTTCGTTATTTGTACTGCTATTAGCCTTGCGCAATAGCATGCGCCTTGCAGCTTTCTATTCGTTCCTCTGATAGACTCCTTCGGTTAGTTCTATCGCCGTTTACCGACATATAGCTCATGTGGCAAGCACAGCCTTCATGGCCGTCCCGCACAGTATAGGACACTTCTGCCAGCCGACATCGTTTGACGCTGCCAATCATTGTAACATATAATCCAGCGTCAGTTACGAAGATGACAAATCTGCTGGTAGCTTCAACTTGCACGGGTCCACGCATCCTGGTCGTTGCCCTGATTCTCGTGTAAAAGATCACGTCCGTGTACGAGTTCGCTATTTAGTGTTGCCTTTTATTGGCTTGATTCTGCGCGTACTCGGTGAGGACTGGTATTAGAGGAGGAAACACGGGTACCTCATGTGTGGGCTGCGGCTCGACTGTCAGTAATGGGGTGCCTGTGGTGTGAGTTGGCAAGTGATGAACGATTAAAAGTTGTTAACAAGTGAGCAAGCTGAGCAAACCACTGACTTCTTCAACGTGTTTGTCTTGGCTGTTTTGATTTGTGTGATCGAGTCCTAATTATCACTCAGTAATTTCAATCTATCCGGGTCGGCTGTTTCCATGTTGACTCCTTCAATTCAGGCACCGTACGAGTGAATCTTGTGAAATTTGCTGTTACATATATGCACTTTACTGACCTGATTGATGTCATCTGAGGTCATGTTCTTATTCATCTCTTGCGTAATGACTACTTAATGTGTATTTGTTGTGTTTTTACGCCAACCTAACTGGTTTTGAGGGGAAAAAACCAACTCAGTCGAATTTCCTTTCCTTCCAATTGGAGATGCTGCTCACAAAGGTTTGGTGATGTAGGACTGAATGATTCGGATTTAGGGTGTGAGGCAAACTGGGAATTCGTATTCCCCATTTTCCCAAAAATGTGTTTTTTTTTATTTTACCTCTAAATGTGACGAGAAGGGAGGTATATGGTTGGGGAGAGAATTCGTAGACTTTTCGTCATTTTTTAGTCAGTTTATTGCCGGACAGGTCCTCGTGTGAGCCGTCTGGCGTTTGCGGGGGAGATGAACGGAGGAAAGGAGGCCATAAGTGACACACAGTCTACCCCTCTCATAGAACTTGTCAAAGACGGTGTTCTCGGTGCAGTTGAGACCTTCCTCCGAGAAAATCCCTCAGCAATCAATAAAACGGACTCAGGTGTGAGTGATTATTTAAAAAGTGTATAAACAAGGAAATTGCTGGACCTTTATTACAAGGATGCAGAAAAAACACGTTGCCCGTTTGAAAGCATGCTATCCGCATCGAGATATCGCCCGTGCTTGTAGCTTTTTTTGACACACTATGAAACCCGCGTAGTTAAAACCCCACTGATATGTTATTTTAAACTAGATTCGACTAATTCATGAAATGATGCCGTCATGACCTATGGGTCCGCATACCGATCAGTCGCATCACATAATGAGGCTCACGCAAGCAAAGGTCTTATTTTGGCCGCCATTTTTTGCCAACGCGGCCCTATTTTCGAGCCGTCGTTGACCTAAACGCGAACTCATCCCAACTGGGTCCCATAGGTCAGATGAACTTGTTGTCTTTGCAAAATTGTTAAACAATAAGATGCCGTGTGACAAAGTGAAGTAACTGAATCACTGGATGACAGCGCTCAACACAGAATATATGGTGTGCTGTTAATTTCAGTGCTTAAATGAAGAAACTATAACGTGGACTAGAATCCACGCAAAGTGAATTTGTAGTACTTTCGAATCAGTGCTTTTTTTACAATTTTGATTGCATGACATTCAGTAAGCTGCATAAACCTCTTTACTTTCGGTGCATTCTAATAGTTGAATTCAAACCTGAAAATGACCACCTCTGACAACACGACCAGGTCCTCCACTAAAACAACGGCCCAGTATTATTTGTTTATAATTAGATTCCAGTTGCAGCAGACCAATAAAAGTTCCAAGAAATTCTATTCTGCTAAGCACTGAATGCGTTCAAGCCTTTTAAGTTCTGCTTTTCCTCGCCATGATTTGCTTCAGCTAAGACGATACGATAACGGCGTCACTCAGAATAGCGTGTTTACATACCCAGAGTTATAATCACCATGCCCAAAATGTCCCACTGCGCGTTGGATTCAGGCATGTGAGAAACCCTTGACGTGCGCACGACTTTAGGCGCGCTGTAGAGGTCGCAATGTGAGCCGTGAACCACACGCGGGCCAATCACGAAGAGGAACGAAGGCCATAGTGACAGTGCGGCGCTCAATCGTCTCCTGCGGCGATATGGGGCTTGTCCTATTGTGTGACAAGGCGTCTGCATATTTAGGAACGCCTGACATTTAATTCGAAACACCTGAAATGCAAGGTTCATGATATCTAGAGAAACGAATTGCTTCATATTAAGTTTCGCTGTTTCCTATAGATCACCTATTTGTAATTTGGGTTTCTGTATGAGGCGTTTTCTTAGGGTGTCGAGATATAACGCTGAGGAATTCAGTTAATTGTCCTTCATTAAACAGATCACGCCATCCCCACAAATGTCGCATCTTTGGGGCAGCACATGGCCATCCAGTCGCGCTACATGGTAGACATGGTAGACTGTAGAACGCGCTACAGTCGACGTGAAGACGAATTTGACGTCTTTTGAAGGCATCAGTATTTTAAAAGGCACAAATTTTGGAGCACTGTGTAGCTGAGGCAGAAGAACCAAACACAGCACCGTCCTGCCTTGGTGCACGGCGCGGACCGAAATCCATACCAAACCTGCTCCGGCATAATGTTGTCCTGCATGTATCGAAATTCAGCAGACAGTAACAATTCACCACGTGTTGACAACTTTGGGCTTGCAAGTCAATAACACTGTTTCTTCGAACACCATCAGCCAGCCATGTGGAATTTTTTTTCGGGAATCGGAGGCCTCGTTTTATCATGTATAGCTACACTGCGTCTTCTGGGTGTCAAATATTACTGCCCTTTAACGTGTTTGTTTTGATGTAGTAGACCTCCTCTTGCCCATCTTAAGTAGGTCATCAGAGTGTCCGGTGAGCTTAGTGACTACAGTCAAAGCATTCGCCTTTGGATTGCTAGGGTGTTGTTTTTGTAAATTTGGTGTGGGACCGAGGTTGTTGATTGGTTTTAGACTGCTCTAAACAACGAGCCCATTTTTGACATGCAAACCTCTTTTTTTTTACTAAGGCTTTGGGTCAGCTTTGTGCAGCACGAGTTTCTGTATTCGAGTATTTTTTTCTATTTTTTTACATGATGTTCGGCCCTCGCTGTGGTAGTTCACAGAAAGGCAGCTGGCTTGCTGCATTCAAAAGTTGATTGGGGCGCTGCAGCTATTGAATTGCCGCCTCTGATCTATGAAAACAATCCTTTGTGAAACTTGTTGGAGCAGTGAGGTCATGCGACGCAAAACTGCCAGTGATGTAGACAATCACTCGTCGGTCAAGTAAAAGGCTTTATACGAAGACTTTGAAGCACTGACAGGATTATTGTGCATAATTGCAAAACCCTGTGTCCCCATTTTAATATTATCGGTGCTGGTGAAATCGAAAGAACGCATGGATAAAATTGGTGGTGTGCAAAACCAGATCTTATTTAGGTAGTTGAATCCTTACTGCAGACATGCTTACATGCCCCTTCATAACGTACTCCGCAGAGTCAAAATCGCATTTCAACAAGCTAATTCCGAACCACCTTTACAAATTAAGGGTCTACTACAGGTGTCCGTTTATGAGAATTGTTACTCGTGTTAAATTAGTAGATTGTGTTTATCATTAGGTTTATTTGCATCATCGTTTATTATAGGGTTTGACTGCATTGCACTGGGCTGTTGATCGAGGCTTCCTTGAGATTGTCAATACTTTAGTCAGTTGCGGTGCCAACATTGACGCCCAAGATGCCGAGGGACAAACGCCCCTGCATTACGGTAGGTCTGTTTGCCAACCAGGGTCTATCGGAAGCCCTTGTTCAGCTACAATTAAGGCTGTTTTTTGCACTTGATTTACCCGTGTGGTGGTCATTCTACGATATCGTCCAGAAATCATAATCGGAAATTTCGCTAGCATGCACGTGGTTTTTCACTTTTGTGGGCGGCACGGCAAGTCTGCAGTTAACTGCGTCCTCAAGCCGCATGGGTTAGTACCCGCATGTAGACACGAGCAATTGGTGTTGCGCAGTGGTCGGTGTGCGCTAACTGAAGACAACCAAGCGGACCCGTCGTTGAGTGTCGCCTCGTCTGGGGCCTCGGGTGCAGCCTCACGCGCCACGCGCTCGTTGTACTATTCTGTGCATGGATAGCTCTGCTGTGATTAAATTAAGCCAAATACTCACCGGCAGTTGATAATTTGAACGAGTTGCTCATTCGCTTTCCCTGTACGTTTCCGTTTCCCTCTTGACAAAGTATAATGACTTTTGCTGCGCCTTCGATTGGTGTTGTGCAGGCGTTGGTGAGCGTTTAGTGCAGGCGACCAGGCGGACCCCTCCTCCGGCACACCTCAACGGACCACCAACACCTCCCGTGATTTATCATTCTGCGTTCAGTCACCTGGGCTATTCAATCACGTGGCTGAAGACTGTCTTTTTATACTTGTTCGGACTTAAGTTCCCTAATCTGCAGTCTGAAATATCTACCCTTCGTAAAGAGTTGGCTGGTTAAAAGCCCAACACTCCTTCGAGTTCTAACATGCCTCTTTCGATAATATTGCTTAGTTAGGGATAAAAAAATATTTTTTTGGTTTTCTTTTACTGTAATGCAAACCAATTTTGCACAGTGCAAATCGACTTTCCTGGCATCAAACATGGGGTCAGTGAGTTGTGTCTAAATTTTCTAGGCAATCGAGCGTTTTTGCCAAGGCAAAGTAGTCAATCTCAAGTTCAGGTTTTCTATCACGGTTGTGTTCAAGATCTTCAACATTTATTATGGATCAGGCAGTGTGAATTTTGTTGAAGCGTACTCTCAGGAATTCTGCAAATTTTTTTTTCAAGATTAGCGTTAGGCTCCAGAACACATTGCTTAAAGCGACGGAATCATTGTTTTGCCTCTAAATCCCCTTGTGAGTCTTACGAATCGTGAAACGGGTTTCAGTAAGCATCAACATGTACGCTTTTTTAAACTCCAAACGCATAACACAGTAACATATTTTGGATAACATACACATGAAGAACGAGGGAGTAATGGGATATAATTTGTATTGAGGACGTAAAAAAATCATCATTAATGATCCGGCGAGCTTCTTCGATGTGCCACATGAAGATTAAGCATTACTCTGTTTGCGGGATTGTTTTGCCCTGTCACATGGGAGTTTAGTTGGATAACTTTGTTACATCTCGCTTACAATGCTAAACTCCGAAAATTGTGGTGCAACGTCGAGTTTTTAAGGTAGGCATTTAGTACGGTAGAAGCAAACAGTCTACTCTATTCGTGTTATTTTGAATTGGTTCAGGCCAGAGTGGGTTCCCAAAAGTTTGCGGCCTTCTGTTTCCATTTCTACGGTGACAACCATTTCGACCATCATCCGGATTCGGAATTTATAACACTCCGTTCGCTGTTTCTTTTAGCCTGTTCCTGCGAGCGCCAAGACGTGGCGAAGCTTCTGCTAAGTCGAGGCGCTGACTCTTCCATCCGCGATGCCGATGGTGAGACCCCTTCCGTGGACTTTCTCCAGCGTGCTCCTTCCAGCTAATTAACAGCGCGTTTTTGTTTGTGCCCATTAAAAGTAAACAATTGTTTTTTTTGTGTTATTTGGGGCAAATCTTGCGTGATCACGGGTAATGCGTCCACCGGGTGCTTTGTAGACGACGCCGCGTCTCGTGGTGGTCCTGCAGGGAGTGAGTTTGTTTGAATTTGCTTCTTTGCTGACCCACAGAAAACCGGCCGCATGGTAAGAGCTAAGACAATTATGCTTTTAGTAGTTCTCAGACGTCGTTAGGTCGAATAACTTGTGATCTGGCCTGATTTGGTGGAGCATCATCCTGACCTGGTCTGCTACTCGGCTGTATGTCCGACGTCTTGTCAGAAGCCTCTAACTGTGTGGTCGTGTCTAACTCTGCCTCCCGCAGACGAGCAAGTTGTCTAGACGGGTAGAGGCCCACGAAATCTAATCACGGGCACGTTTTATCTGGTTGTTAGTGGAAATAGGCAAGCTCAGCATTCCGTATTCAGTCAGATTTTAGAATGCTTAATTACGAGGTGATGTGTTCGTAAACTTTGGAAAAGTATGCCTTACCTAAATGAAGGTGATAAACAGGGCTGAAAGCATTTTTGTGCCCGTACACACAATGAGGGTGATTTGCGATGTACGTGATCGGTGCTGTGTTCACGGGGCTGCGGTGGAACAAATGGCAGGTCACTTATGACTGCGCGCATCGACAGGTGGAATGCAGTTAATTGGAAGATGGTTCGATGCCAGTTGATGATTCACACATGCGTCATCCTAAGGTAGTTTTTTTGGATTTATCAGTTTATGTTATCAAGGATCATTAACCCCTCTGGTTGGTTTTACCAAAGGTGAATGCGTAGACAACTTGCAATTTATGGGGGTGGAGCAGTGAGCTTATTCAAACTGCTTGAAATTTAAAATTGAAGAGAATTTTTGTACCCGATGGGTTATTAAGTGACTTGTTAGCTATGTTCGGGGACCGAAGGCTTGCTGAGTCCCATGTCTCGCAATTCGCTGCACAGCTGATTTTACGTAGGGTGTTGTCTTACGGAGGAGCCTCATGCCAACCTGTGCGTTGTCACTTGAATGGAATGCTTTTCAAAGACATGGCGCCAAACAAACGTGGCCTTTTGTAATCACAACGGCTGAAAAGCTTAACGCCTTCAATGTCTAACTGTTATAACCTTGGAGGTGCAGCTTAGTAATCAATATATAAATCATGGCCGATGAAGTGGGAATCAGTAACAAAAGGCTATTCTGACCTCGGTAAAATTGGGTCAAGTTTCCTAAGGGCCTGTTTTATGGCCACTCGGCTTTCCTAGTGGCGTTTTGAATGACCTTTTTAAGCGAAAGATTTATTGCACGCTCAGTACTTACCTATACAGGAAATAACTTGTTGCGTTTTTGCGTTGTTTTAATAACTGAGAGCAAAAATAAGTTTAAAGGAATATTTTGATTTCACGAAAATTGTTCGGCACTAGACGACCCCATTGTGGCTTCAAGAAAGGCGTTTTGATTTGCACGTATCACCGCGCCTTGATTTAAAGACTGACAGCGACATGCAGTTTCGCGTCCCGTAAAAATGCACACACACGCAACCAGAAACGGATTTCAAAAGACTGAAAGTGCAGTACAGTAGTTGGCACTTTAACTCAGATCATGAAGCCATTGGAGCAAGTCTACTTTTAAAGTTAAATTTAATGGAACAGAAAAATTTTCAAGTTTTACTCTGACGACTGTACAATCGCCACGGTTTTGATCATTTGTTGTCTCACAGCCTCACCCTGAAGAAAATGTAATTTGTTGTGGGGATTTCAGTACGCAGACGCAAAATCTATTTCATGGTGATAAAATAAATCTGGGGATCAAATTATAATTTTTTTAAAAGACCTTTTAATTGGCCATGCTATTTAAGATTATGGGGAAATTTTAAAATGTTACTTTTCTAGTTATGTGTAAATTGCAGACATCTATCTACCAGGCCATTACACAGAACCATCATTACAGTTCAAGGTTAAGTGTGTGTCAGTCATCTCGACATTCTCTCAACTAAACGAATGGCCTCGAACTGAAGTTGGACAGGAATTTAAGTCATATAAGAAATCGTTAAATTCTCCTTAATCTTTCTACTCGTAAGGATTCCATTATATCAAATCAACAACAAATTGAATCGGATTTATATGAATTCTGCCGATTGAGTAGCTAGAATCCTTCTATCTGACGGGTTCATGAAAGCAAAATACATTGCGATGACAGCCTTTGAAAAAAAGAAGGGTGATCATCCGTACATAAAATCCCGAAAAATGGTTCCTTCGATTGTGGTAAAATATTTCAATGGTATAATTTTTAAAACACGGATTATGTTCAAGGTTTGTAGCACTGCATTAAAACCTATGTTTGCTGACACAAGAGCAATGAATGCAATGAAAAAAAGGCAACCAGGCGGGCATGGTTGCTTCACCATCTGATGGCTTTAGTGTGACAGTGACGTGTACATGGGCGGATCTATAGAGTGTGTGTATACAGTGCTGATTGGCTAAGTGTGTGAACGAATGAAAATTGATTGTAAAGACCTATTCGGACAGGATTCTATCGTCAAGCCACGATATATCGATTTGAGGTGAAGTTTGATAGCTGGAAGGCTTTGATGTTATGGCATTTATAAGAGAGGAAAGTGTGATTAAATAATTTGGCGATTGTAACTAACACAATTAGATTGTGTCCGGTTACATTATAGTTAAAAAACTGTTGATTCCACAATTATGTTTTTCGCATATTCTAAATTAGTCTGAAAAACTGATTCGTAAAATATGTGCATAATTATAATTTTGTTTACGCTATTTTATTTTCACTTGATGATAATTTGTCTACATCGTACATGCAAAACATTCTTTGACGGAAGGACAGTCTTTGTCTCGATAGTTAACGGCACGTAATTAATATTTTGAATACATGTTTATGTAAGGAAATGGACTTGTGGCAATTTGTTGCTAGGACTCACGAAGATTGATTGTCCCTTCTTGGAGCAGGTGTGAGAGGTCTTTTGGTCATAGCATGGCTTTCTCTAGTTCACGTTACTCTGCAACTGAGACAAGCTAGGGTCATTATCGAATAATATAGTGGATGGCGTCTTCTTGAATCACACCGTATTTCCACATAAAGCACATGAAATCGTACATACTTCTTGTTAAATTCATCCACAAAATTTGTTTTAATAAACTTAAGAAATTAACGAATATCAATCATAAGGAATGGTCAGAACGGTCAGTTTTATAATGCTTATTATAGTGCACAGTACAATAGCGAACGAGTTTATGAAAACAGTGTGGATGATCAACTCGAAGCATACATAGCTGATCAACCTGTGGTGCTGTATTCTTCTTTGCGCCGACGGCCAATTAATGACCACCTGTTTTACAATCATTACATAATAATCTGACCACCTTAGATATCTGAACTAAGTTTGTTTGAAATTTCTGTCAAAGTGGTCACTTTTTTCAATCAGCAATATTTTGAATAGCCTAACAGTTGATGGAAGTAGAGTCAATCATTATTGGTAAGAGAAGTCTAACTGAATCTATCCAAACAATGGCTAGCCGGGATTGGTAAGCATCAAGTCGTGACGTGTGACAAACAAAATAAATGATGGTCTAAGTTCTCATGTCAGATGACTCACTGGAGGTTAAATGAAATCCCAAAACAGGTCAATTTCAGCCAAAAGTTTACTACAGGGCGGCCAAACAATTGTCTTGAGTATCGGCCTAACTTGGGAGAAAGGATCATGTCCTGGGTGCACCAGACCTTTAATCAGAATCTTAGCTGACAATCGAGTAGGTATTGCAACTGTTTCGTGCATCTTATAAGCTTTTTCCACCCTGATCCATTTTTGAACACACGTGCTGCAAAGAGTCATGATGTAAATGCAGGACCCATTTCCTCACAACCTTTTCGTGTAGTTGCGTTTAACGTAAAGCAGACCCAGGCTCACCCTTAAAAACGCATTTTGGGAGAGATCTACACTTGGCTGACTTTAAACGAAATTTGAAGCCCGGATGCAAATCGATCAATTTTATTCCTTACCACCACTGACTAAATTACAACTTAATGAGTGCAGGCGTTTGCTATAAGCAGAAACAAAGGTGAAAACGAAATACATAGTTTAGCCTCATGCGCAGGTAGGGGTGGATGTTCTGGCGGTCATTCTCCAACCACTTGAAGTTGCTCATGTGTGCACGTAGGACCGTGATAAAATTCGGCTGAGGTGATCACCCCTGTAAACCAGGTCTGGGTGGAAGCATTGCATGTAGTCTTATCCTGATGTCCGTTCATCAGGGACACGTTGTCAGCCTCTCCTGGAGCCCAGGAACTAATGTCCGAATCCGGAAATTCCAAGTCAGGCAGAATTCCCCCTGTGTTGTGAAGAAGTTTGATAGGACGCTTGAGTGTATCGTAAGCAAGAAAAGAAAGATAATCATCTTCGCCTGAGTCCTTCGTAGGCCCTAGATCAATGTTCAGGTCGTCTTCGTCGCTAAGATAGAATGCCGAATAGTCGTCATTCAAGAACTTCCCATTATTGTGGAACTGAGAAGTTGTCTCATAATCTAGGCGGTCTAACGAGTGGCATCGACGTTGTTTTACTGTTGCAGAAGAGCTGGAACCAACAAAATGGAAAGAAGACGTTGAACCAACGCTAGACTTGGATTTACACCGAACTGGGGTAGCGAGGAAAGGCAAACAGGAAAGGCCATTGGAAGGACATGAGTCGAAGCCCGACTGGCCGCTCCCTCCTCCACCGCAGTTGTAGAGTGTATGTTGACTTGATGCCGCAGATGTCGAGATCATGACTTGTTGGAGAAGGTCATTGTCATCCGTTTTCCATACTCTAACTGCTCGCCACTTTGCGCGAGATCGAAGTGGAGCGCGAACAGCGTCGAAGTGAACCATTTCGTTGGGCTAAAAAAGCGAGAATCAAATTTTCATTGTGCACATTTAGTACTAGCAATTCCATTAAGGATAGGGGACTAATTTGAAGATTCATGACAAAGATGGAGCATTGTCGGTAGAATGTCTGTGCGGATGCTTCCCGTGCCTCTAACACAATAAGCTAATATGAGGAAATAAGTGTCGAATAATGCATGAGTATAATACTTAATATGCATTTCTTGGAAAAACGCAGATGATCTAGTTATTATTTGACTTGGCTACTATGGAAAACCTGCTTAAACAACCTTTCTGCGGGATGCTGAGACCCAAAGAGTTGAAATAGGTGGCTTCGCGGTTTGGAAATACCTTTAAGGCATTGAATTGGTTACTCACTTAAAAGTTTGAGTGAAAGCCAAAGCAAATAAATAAAGTGGAAAATCTCAACTTGGACAAGGACATCACCAGTTGGGCATGAAATTCGCTGACTTTACCAATTGTTAGAATGTTTTTCTGTTGAATCCCCCTTTTATGTCTCACACCTTCGATCTCACGCGAATTAGTTTCAGCCCAAAACTAAAAATCTGTACAGTCTTATTTCCAGACTGTTTCAAGTGAGGACCCCACATCTGAAAGTTAAGTAATGCATTATTTTTTTCAAACGGCGGATTAAAGCAATGCACCTCCATCTAATGCATGAATTTCGGCTCATGTTGCAGTTGTTACATGTGGAATGACTACAATTTATTCCATCAGTAAATTTGTGGCTAAGTCTACGCCAAGGTAGACGAAATGTTATGTCAGGTTTGGCTTCATACGGGCACATAGGCAACCCCTAGAAGATAAGCATTGCAACGTTTGCATGCGCCTTAAATTATCGAATAAACCAACTTCTCCATCTTCAAACAGTTACAAATGAAAGAGGGTAGAGCAAAAGCCATAATAGTCATCTTCTGTGGAAAAAAATAACAAGTCTTTTTTTAAAACGAATGCAGAAATGTAAACTTTGATTTAAAAGTACACCTCGAAACACTGATTCACCGGGGGATTTATTGTGCCCTCTTTAGAACAAAGACAACCGTACATTTTCTTATCCAAGGTCGAATGGTCTTAAGGTTAGAGTTAATTGTAGAATTTCAAACAGACTTGAATCGTCAAAGCCGAAGGAGGGTGCTGAAAACTAAGGTCGCCACAAATGCCGATTAGCCGCATGGTTTGTTTAAGTAAACTCTGGGTGCACGATCCAGCTGTACTTTGCGGGAGCCAATCTACAAGCGATAGCCGGGACATCTTCGGAGTTTTCGAAAACTACGTCACCAAACATGAGCCCTGAGTTTACCGCATAAACGTGCAATTAACAGCTGGTATATACTTAGAGGCTGCCAACCTGAAAGTTTACAATGTAGGACAAATTTGACAGGGCCATTCGTAATTGGTCTGAGTAAAATTGAAAGATGATGCAAACTGCACAAAAATAATGAGATTATAATGTTTTGGGGTCTATGCTTTGGAAGGTTTAAGTTGTAAATGTAATGCAGTCCAAAAAAATCAGCTGATTGCCATATGTACTACTAATACTGTAACTCAGACGCCTTGAGGTTGCGTTCAATCGGAAAGAATGTCGAAACCCAATGTTTTCATAGTAGAACTGACGATCTCCATCAGCAGACACACACTTGTGGCACTTTGAAATGGTGAAGACAAATTTATTTACGAAAATTAAATTAGTCTTTCGTTTTACTGCGTAAAAAGCATGCTCAAAGTAATTGCGGTTAAATTCTCTAACCATGCTTTAAAAAACTTACCAACGATTTCACAGGCAACTACAGTGCAAAGTTGGTGACTTATCCCCAATACATAGAGAAACACCATCAGAACAGAACCCTTTCAGCTATCCAAAGCTTTGTGCCTAACTCAGGTATGCCTGTTATATCCTAGTCATAGAATCCAGGTAACACATGCAATTGAAAGTATGCTATAGCTCATTTCAATGAAAAGTGAAATTAGCAAATTGTTTTTTGCTTTATCAGAAATCAGCTTTGCTTTAAATGAATTAAATAGAAGAGGTGGGATTAATTTATTGAATTTCAGGCAGGGAAAAATTTCGAATTCATTATAAAGTCAATAAATCGCTGAAAATGACAACAAGGTATTAAGCAGAAATAAAATACCGATGTATCTGCATAAAGCCAAAGATTTCATAAGAAATATAATTTTCCAAAAACAAAATAGATCGAAATTATATCGATAATTATTGGCTAAGTAGAAAGCTAATTTAAGTAATTTGGGCTGACACAAAATTTTCTAAGAAATTTTACTGCAGTGTTGAGTTATTGGAGTTATTTGGGTTGTGCCCTGCAAGTGCATTTCAGACATTACAGAAAACAACGTCAAAACACAAATTCTGATTTATGTCCTTTGCTACTAAAACCCATTATGCTAATCGTGCAATTTGTCAACAATCATTTGTGAAAGGTGATCCTAAAGTAGCGAGAGATCAAGGAAAGACAGTGCCTCATTAACCTAACATAATGCTAACCGAAGCTTTTCAAACCAAATTGTTCTAGTGGACTTCCCATTCGACATTTTAGAAAATATGGATTTTGAGGATTGATTAAGGAAAAAAACATTTTTGTAACTTGTGAGACAAACAACAACGGTGGTGGTTCCTAAGCATGAAACCGGAGACTTGGACCAACTTTTTGCCCATTACTTAAGAATCCATGGTTTAGCAAGGTACTTAAATGGATTTCTACTTTCACATCACATCGTCAAAGCATGCACGTTCCTTGAAAGGATAACAATAAGTGTCGGAAGTGGGCTAGTCGCTGCTAACACGTGAAAGTGAATTTAAATTCGACACACTCATCCCAGGGATAAAGAAGCAAAGCCTAGAAGCACAACTGTTCACTGCAGGAATATATCGTGATTAATTAAAATCGGATTGCTATACGTGTTGCTGAACAGATTGGATCGTAGCAAGAGGTTAATAAGTTTTTATTCCATGAATTCATCGAATCAAACCGCCAAGTTTATGCGCGGGATAATTGAAAACTAGACCAGACTAAAGATATTACGGGTGTCAATAAACGTGCTTCGAGCATCATTGGCGAATCGAATTGTCTAATACGATCACGATTTCGTAAACAACATTGATAAAGTTGCCTAACAATTGTTAGTTGACTGTAAATTTGGTTACACAAAAAGTGCAAACATTTGGCTGATTGTGATTTAACAAAGTGCGAACATCGGCAAAGTATTTCTGAAATGGCTTAAACGTTGTGGTATTATCACTTTGTGTTTGAGCTCGTGCAGAATGGAGACTCGATGATCTACCCATGTCGAAGACATATCGAAGAATGTGCATCGTTCATTGTGGGTGTAATAGTCGATTCAGCAACACCTAAAAGTGTATGCATTAGGTGGAACTCAAATTGGTCGACGGAAACAAAACATTTTGGGGAAATTAGGCACAGAGAAAACTTCAGGGGTAAGACGACGTTTGAGTAATAGAAAAATCAGTTTCAAGTAACAAATGACCAACAACAGATGTTTGCGAAAATGCACAGTATATGGAAATCGGTATCTGAAATCCATGACACGTTTAGATGACTCAAATTTACATGTGCTAGATGAAGTACGATGCTTAAACGTGGGCACCAGATTAAGTGGATAACACGCCGAATTTATGCTAAACTTAGAGACAATGGGAGAGGCCAAACACCCCAAGAAGGAAATGCATGAAAGTTTGTCGTCTACCTCTCATTTCATAAAAAAATGTTTCGTTTTAATTACCGACTTTGCCAAATTAAAAAAAAAAGTGTTTTGGCACATAAGAATTACATCAAATATTGTAGTGCTTTTATATAAAAAAATAGGATAACGACAGTTATTTCATAAAGTCCGACATTCAATAAATTACTAAGAAAAATTACTTGTGCAACGCGATAATATATTTTGAACTCGGTTTAAACGAGGCAAAATTATGTATGCATGACCAAACGCCAAATAGTATTTGGCGAGCCAAAATTGTCGAGGATTAATTTCCAATGGCATCGCTTCATAATGACATGAAATTAAACCAACTAACACAACGATTTTGCAGTTTTCCACGACTCCGCAATGGTTCGTGATAGGACTGATCTAGAAGCCCTGTTGGATGAGTAGTACGCAGTTTAGCATTATTTTGCTGCACGGAACTCAGGTTTGGGTGATTGAAAGTAACCAAAGGTACGTATTTACACAATCACGGTGTTTGACATACTGGTCAAGGGGGTGTCTTCACAGATGGTCAGCGCACCTACAAATTGTAGAGTGGCAAATTAAAAAAAAATTGCCTTAAAAGTCGCACGGACCGATTGGTTGGAAAATACTTTTTGCAGTGATATAAGAACCTTGGTTATTTTCGCTGAAGATGAACTTAGTAAAATGTTTTCGCTAAAAATAAACCCTACATTCTGAAGAGGTGTGAGTAGTGGACAAACATCATTTAATATTTAGTTTTCTTTCAACTACAATCCTCGCTGTATCCGGATATAAATTTACAGCGCCCTAATATAAGATTACTTAGATAGTGGTGGCTACTAAAACAATGATGGGAATGGCTATTGAAGAACCAAATAATAACAGACTCGTACTAGGGACTAGTAACAAGCCACGCTTGCTTAAAATCGGACGGATACCAGTTTGAATTTCGCGTTGTGAGTTCCAGAGGGAGATCTCTTCTCTGATGTGCGATAGGACTTGTGATGAGACATCGATGTTTTGTTGCAGGAATGCTGAGCCGAGAAACTAATGAGGTAAGCCATGAAGAAGCGTATTAAAGACATCCACAGATGCCGAGATACTTCCACGTTTAGGTTACCTCAGACAATGAATTTTCAGTGTCATGTCAAAGACCTAGTTGGGGAAAACCTTGTTACCAGTTAGAAAACGTAAAGGCATTGGTAGTGAGAAAACAGCAAGAACACTCCAACTACTGAGACATGATGATCTAGTTTGTGTTATCCTAAAATAGTCTCCAA